GGGTTCTTAAACTGGACCGGAGGGCCGGAACAAAAGCATGGATGGAGTGTTTGTGTGAACTAATATAAATTCAAAGTAAACATCATTACATAAAAGGGTACGGTCTTTTTTTTTTTTTTTTTAGTTTCATTCATTTTAAATGGGCCGGATCCGGTCCGCGGGCCGTAGTTTGCCCACGGCTGTTCTAGACCTTTAGTCTGAGCAAGAGACAAACATATAAACAAGTAAGTGTACTAAATGTTACTGATGTTATGGTAGAAGTCCTTTCAGGGCAAATGCTGTAAGGCAGAAGAGGAAAGTAGTTACTTGTACCCAAATGTGCAATGAAGGTTACAGGGAGAAAGACCTGGTGAACATTAAACAATTGCCTGGATTCAAAATGCCTCCTCCTCACCTTCAAGCAGGTCCCTGTACCCGAGTAATCATGACACTCATTTCAAAGGAAGAAATTCCCTCAAACCCCTATTGTTTATTTAAAATGTTTTATATTAAATACAAACCCCAAACTAGGTCCAACTCCCTTATACATATTGATTTTAGAAAATATTTTTTAGGTGAAAACACATTTATAAAATTAAGAGTAAACCAAAAAATGAAGACAATTCAATTTAACAATATTAATTTAATATGATGGATGGTGTTATTTTGTGGAAACTAAATTGATGATTGTTGGGTTTTATGGTGAAAAGAAATAGCCTCATGTCTACTTATCATTTATCCTGTATTTACCTTTTAATGATAAGGAATTGAGTCCAGCTACACAGAATAAAATATCAAATAGTAATGGCTAAAATAGATAGGACTATTCTGCTCTCGTTCCCCCAACAGGAAGTTTGGAGTTAGGTAGTCCACGATTTCCGAGCCACACCTCTGCAATCCTGGTGTCCTTTCCTTTCTGGTAGGTCAAAGGTAGCTGCTCCAGTTCCAGGTTTGGCAGCATTGTTTTATGCAGGAAGAGAGGAAGAAGACAAAAGGGTACTTGCCAACTGAGTTGACTCTATTTTAACAAGTTTTTTTTCAGTCACCACCCAGTGACCTCTGCTGTCTCATTGGCCACACACTGTGTCACGTCCACACCTGGCTGAAATGGAACTTGGAAAATAGATCCCATCCTCAGGGTTGTATTATTGAGGGAAAAGGGAAGAAAAGATTTGGGGAAAGCAACATCAGGCTCTGCGCACATTCCAAGGCCAATTTTAAGGAGTGATTTAGAAACACAATAGCTACCTCTATCACATAAAGACCAATTCATCCGTGAGGCCTTGTTAAAGTGTGTCTAACAGGTCTATAACAATGGTTAAAAAATTCTTCATTTCATATTGACTATCATGGTTACTGATAACGAAGTTTAACGTTTGGAGCTAAAAAAAAAATCAGCTACCTCGAGATCTTTCTACAGTTCTCTCTTATAACTATTGTAAAAATACTTATCCTTTCAGTATTTCACAGTAAGAAGTATCTTGTGAAGGTGTGTAGGGGAGAACAGATGCCTCATACAATCCTAAATGCAAAAGAGAGTACCAAATATACACACACCTAATTTTAAAGTAGTTATTCAGATAATCCAGAATATTCCTATTTGGGGGGATTATAATCTAAATGAAAACTCAGCATTTAAAGAGAATTCTGACACCCTTAAAACAGGAGTCTGCAGATTACTCTCCATGGCCAAGCCCAGCCTGTCATTTATTTTTGTAAATACATTTAGTCCCCACCCCTTATCTGAGGATTTGCTTTCCATGGTTTCAGTTACTGCAGTTCAAAAATATTAAATAGAAAATTCCAGAAGTAAACAATTCATAAGTTTTGAATTGTGTGCCATTCTGATAGTGTGATGAAATCTTGTGCCGTCCTGCTCCAGCCCTTCTGCCCAGTGCTTTGAGAGAGAATCCTTGTGCTTCATCTTCCAATCTACTTATTAGGTGTCAGTAATGATCATCCTTTTAAAAAAATTCATCTACTCCTTTTAGTTTGGTAATCATGACTTCGAGTTTTAGGGTGTGTGTGTGTGTGTGTGTGTGTGTGTGTGTGTGTGTTGCATAAGAATTTCCGTAAGTGCTCAAACAGTTTTTGTGCACATGTTTTTCTTTTCTAGCACTTCTTATTCACGAGATAGGTGTTCTGATAATTCACTCTTATTTTGCTGTTTCAAATGTTGGTGCCTCTCTCATGGGCAGTTATTTTTCTATGGTGTCTCATTGGAAATCAGGTCTGGTTGCTGAACTATCCTTAACAGCAGGAATCCCAATGGTTGGTAAAGGAATAGTGCCTACAGTTTAAGGAGGGGCAGCCCACTAGAGATACCTGGAGGAAGCCTAGTGCTCTGTAATCTACTTCAACTCGCTTGGTTTCCGAAGTAGGAAGACCCACCTGGCTCAGTTAGGAAAATCCAGCACATTCAGAGGGATGGAAGGTCATCGTCACGGGGGTCTTATGGTACCTGAAAGCCCATCTGTTCCAGTGATTCGTCTATTCCAGCCCTCAGCTTTTGCCCAGGGCCGATGCCGCTTTTCAGTTGGTTAGCCACTCACAGGCAATTTAGCTGTGTTCCAGTTGACTCTGATGTTACCCTACCGCAAGCACTATCCGGCAGGTCTCAGCAGCGGCCTAATTTTAGAAAGTTAAGGACCATGGACTTGGACATAGATAGGAACAAGCCACAGTCAAGTTTCAGAATATCCTGTATCCTCACTCATTCCAATTATCATTTATATTCTGATGACCCTCATTTATTATATCTCTAGTCCCTATCATTCCCCTGACTCACATATCCTACTTAATAGTTCAAGTTGGATATCTAATGGATACCACAAAGGTTAATGTCCAAACAAAACTTTATATATATATATATATATATATATATATATATATCCTCTCCAATTAATCCTTGATTTTAGAGAGATGAGGGAGAGAGAGAGAAACATCGATCGGTTGCTGCCCACACGCACCCCAACTTGGGATCAAACCTGCAACCTGGGTATGTGCCCTGACCAGGAATCGAACCCACAACCTTTATGTGTATAGAACAATGCTCAACTAACTGAGCCACCCGGCCAAGGCCAAACTGAACTTTTTTGGTGGTTGTCCCCAAACCTACTTTTCTCCCAGCCTTTCCTTTCTCAGTGAATGGCATCACCACCATTTTCACAGTTAATTGCTTGAGCCAATACCTTCACATTCATTCTTGACTTTTCTCTCTTATTTTTACATTCCCATCCCAAATGATCATCAAGCCCCAGTGGCTGTACTTTCTAAAATTACCTAAACTGACCACTTCTCACCACTTCCACCTCTACCACTCATTCATACATTGTTTCTTTCCTGGTCTACTGCAGATGCCTCCTGACTGCTCTCTATGCTTCTGCTCTTGCCTTATACAGTTTATTCTCTACTAGAGGCCCAGTGCACGAATTCGTGTATGGGTGGGGTCTGGCTGGCCCGCCCTGATGGGGGCCAATTGGGGGTGGGGCTGGCCAGGGAGAGGGACCGCGGGCGGTTGGGGGGGCCAATCGGGGCCTACATCGGGTCAATTGGCCACTGCAATACACCTCATAGCGACAAATCGTTCCAGTTGTTCTGGTAGTTCCACTGTTCCAGTCGCTTGGCTTTTATATACTAGTATATAGATAAGCCAACAGCAGTCTTTTTAAAAAGGTAATATGTTGCTTCTTTCCAAAGGATTCAAAGAAAATCCAAACTCTATGCCATTGCTTATAAGGTCCGTCAGGGTCAGGAGCCTAACTGCCTTCCAACATTATTAGTAGTAGTAATATTACTACTGTTTTCATCTCACTGCACTTCACTCACATTAGCTTCCTTATCCTTTTAAATGATATTATAACTATCTCATCTCAGGATCTTTGGTCTTGCTGATCACTTTGTTGAGAAGAATCTTCCTCCACATTTTCTCATAATTCCCTTTCTCATTAAATTTACGACTTGCTCAAATCTGTCCAACTTGCCTAACATAAAGACTGTTCCTGACCACTCTATGAAGTGTATTTTCCCCTATATTCCTTATTCTGCCTTACCTGGTTTTAATGTTTTTAATAGAACTATCACCACTGGAACCGTATGCTTGTGTATTATCTTCTTCCAGGCAACCTCTATGAGGGAATGACTTTAATTCACTGCTACATCTCTAGCACTTAGAACAGTGCTGGGTACATAGTAGATGCTCAGCAAATAATATACACTTAAAATGACATCTTCACCAAATTTGAGTTGGGTTTTAAAATGAAAAAAGGAGGCAAACACATGAATTTTTCAGAAATAATCATGATTCTCAACGTATTGCTTTTTTCATTTCTACTTTTCAGGCTTCTGTGTAAAAAAATGTAATAAACTTTATATTCTTGCATATGCTTTAAATGTCAGTTAAAATATTTTTATCTATTTTCCCATAAAAATACTTATTAGGTAACCTGACATGTTTTTTTTCTTTTTAAGAATGAAATTCCATTTTACCTATAACTTATTCCTTGATAATATATTTATTATCAAATTTTTAATTTGTGTTTTATGTTAAAATAAACCTTATAAAATTATATAATGTCAAGACCATTGGTGAAAAAGGAAGAAACTAAAAGAAGTAGGAACTTTTCCTTGACATTTGTTTTCTTGTACTTTAATACCGTATTCTTACCTGTAGGGAAGACCATTTTAAGGTTTGATGGTAAGGAGGACGGAACTCATTGGTACAGTCACTTGCCATTTTGCTCACTTTCTGAAGGGTCACTGTAGCTCTTTCCATGGTGGGCAGTGGCGAACAGTGCAGCTGAGGCTGTGACAAGCCCACATGGTCATATGCCATTGGCAGCCAGAGAGTCTCATCAAGACAGCGCTGGCCCCTGTTCTCATGCACACATACAGACACCTGTCTCCGGCGTAGTACTTTATCATCCGTAAACTATTTTGTGGCAAGCTACTTAATCTGAACTTTTAAATGGTTGACTTTGACAATTAAGAAATTAATTTCGTTTTATTTTTCTTTTGTCCAGGTGCATGGTGGCTGATGAAGTAAGTGTTCCCATGACTTTTATGTCTTTTATTAAATTTCACAACCAATTTTTAGTGTCTACTATTTACCATATACTCTCTGTCTCTCCATATGACTATATTTCTATGGATGGAGAAAAGGAGAGGGAGAGACAGAGGAAGGGGGGGAGGGGTGCAGCCAGGAGAAGAGCAATGAGAATAGCCCTGGCCAGTGTAACTTGGTTGGAGCCTTGTACATATACCTAAAGGTTGCAGGTTATGTTCTGGGGTTAGGGCACATACCTAGGTTGCAGGTCTGTTCCCAGTTGGGGCATGTACAGCTCATCAGTGTTTTCTCTCACACTGATGTTTCTCTCCCCCCCCCCCTCTTCTTTTTCCCCTCGCTGTAAAATTAATAAGCATATCCTTGGGTGAGGATTTTAAAAAAAAGGATGAGAATAAATGTGTGTGTGTGCAAGTGTATGCAAGGTGTACACTTGGAACATGTTATTAATATTAGTGATCCAAAATTCTATATGGCTAGCCAAAGAAGCTTGAATGTGCTTTGAAATGCAGTCCCAAATGAAACAACTATTTTCTACTTGTCATAATACTGCTTGCTAGAAGCTAAACTTGGAAGATTTTTCTCCAAAGGTTAATTGTTTCATATAAAACTTAATGTTAAAATAGTATTTATTACCACTAAACAATATGATACATTTAAGTGGCATGCACTTGTATATATTCATACTCATGTTTTCTCATTGAAATGAAAATTCTTGTTATATAAACAATGATACTCTTTACCTTCATTCTCAGAGTAATATTTATCTACACTAATAAAAGACAAAGATGCTAATTGACCGTACCTTCACTATGCCCATCAGCCAATCAGAAGAGTATGCAAATTAACCCAACAAAGATGGCCGTTGCATACTGCAGGAGGGGCAGCACAGTGCGACCCGGGGAGCAGGCCTAAGCCAGCAGGTGGTTATCTCCCGAGGGGTCCCAGACTGTGAGAGGGCACAGGTTGGGCTGAGGGACCCCCCCCTCCCAGTGCACAAATTTTTGTGCATTGGGCCTCTAGTATATATATATAAGGCTAAGTGTCTGTCGTCTGACTGGTAGCTATGATGCACACTGACCACCAGGGGGAAGACGCTTAATGCAGGAGCTGCCATGATGCCCATTGGCCATCTACAAATAAACGGCACCACGGACCTGGTGCCAACAAACCATCACTCAGCTTCCCCCAGTGTGACACAGGCCCCGCCACCACCCCAGAGTGACAGCCCACCAAATTGCAGCCAATGCTGCCAAGACCCTATGGCGCAAAATGCGGCCCACAGCCCAGCCCAGCCTCGAAACTGTGGCTGTGGGTGCTGGATAATGACTTCATGTAGGTAATGACTTCACGTAGCAACGCCTGGCTTCCTCTCTCCCTTCCTCTCTCCCAAGGAATAGCCTCCTTGAAGTTTCTTCAGCCCAGGAACCCGACTTGCTTTATAGCCAGGTGCAAACATTTTACAGTTTAACCAAATGTTTGTGAAGTGTTTTCCCATGCCTCATCTCATTTGATCCTCACAGAAGTCCTGGAGTAGGTAGATAGGAGATTTGGTAGAATCGTATTTTCTTTTCATTAGCAAGATGCGAATAGCAATATTAAAATATTTCTTCTAATTAATTTCCTTTCAATGTGCACAGATCTGTGCACTGGGACACTTTTAGTAAATCAATAAAGTTCTAATTTTACCATCAGTTTGAGAAATGTGCTACTCCTTTCATGATACCTTTAAAGCATATGTTAGCAAAACATATACACTTAAAACAATAAAAAAAGAGAAAATGACTACTGAATTTTAAAAAATATAGGTGGAGCCATAAAAGATTCTGTCAATTAACTGTCTTTTGGTTTTGGTTACATATAGATTCACCAATGGTTTGTCTTTGTAGTCTCTTCTTTAGGGAAAAATAAAAAGATTAAGATGTGAAAGGGTTTCTTGGGTCATGCTGATATTTACCTAAATTTTTAGTTTGAATTCGTTATTCTATAGACATTCGTTGAGACTAGATGTTATAGGTAGAAACATAGTCATTACCCTTGAAGGACTTTGACAATACAATTGAAGAGATAGAACAGACATTTGGGAAATGACAGAAATTTCCATTTTGGAACAGGATGAATTCCAAAAGGCTCTTAATAAAATAATAAATTTGAAAACCTAAAATAACTGAAAGAGGTATATGTTTTACTCCCTGAATATATTTGCATCCAATAGGAATGTAAACTCATCACCCCAAATCTCAATATTAGGCATAACCATTCTATATAACATCTGTAAAAATATATTTGTGGTAATTTATGGGTGTGTATATTAATAATTTCTGTAACAGAACAGTTTTATATTTACAGAAAATATATTATAAAAGGTAACACCATCTTAATAGTCTCCACAAGCAACTTTTGGGGAAAGTCAGCAGCTATGGCATGTCATTGCTACTTTGTTCTTCATTTTTATATCTTAGAGCAGGGGTAGGGAACATCTGGTCCGTGGGCTGTATAGGGCCTGAGAAATCATTTGGTCTGGCCCTGCCAAGGCATTAGTAGGGGTGAGTTAAATGTTTGACCAAATATAGCAGGCTAATTTTTAAGTTGATAATTTTGTATGGCCCTCAAATGATGTTATAGCTATCCATCTGGCCCTTGGCAAAAAAAAAAGATTCCCCACTCCTGTCTTAGAGATGTGAATAGGCCTTAAATCTATGGAATCTTTCATGGATTGAAATAAACACTTAATCAGTACCTTAACTCTTCTATTTTCCAACAAACTTGTATCTTCTCCTCAGTTAACATTAGACTGAAGATTATGGAGAGTTCACGATGAACCCTTAGCTAGCAAGAGTTTTTTTTATTATTGCTTTTCCTCAGTTTCTATTATTTACAATCACATAGTACTTGTCCCATGTTGAGTGACTTGTGATCTTCCTTTCAAAGCCTTTCTTATTTTTTAATTTAATTAACTTAAAAGAACCATTTGATATTTCCTCAATACTTAAAAAACAATTCTCCACGTTTGTGTCCATCATAATTACGTCTCTCTTTTCACCAGCATTTTAAAGATTCATTCTTTTACACCTATTGGACTTTATGCGGCTTATTATATGAAATCCTGTTAATAAAGAACAAAATCCTCAACTTTGCAAATGAATATAAAAACAGCCTACGGAAATAAACAGTATTATGTACAAGTCTAAGATCCCCACCCACAATCACTGATGTCCTCTGGTAGCGGTAGAGTTAAAATGCCATTTTTATGAAATCTTTACTGAGCTAGAATGGATAAAAGTTAGTTAGTAAATTAAAAGTATTGAAGTGGAAAGAACTTGTATGTATGTAAATTATATGAACTCTGGTTTGACCTTCATTCTGTTTCCTAATTCTGTTCTCTTTCTCTTGCTTTTATCACAAAATTGTGGTGAAGTCAGAGAAGGAAATGCAGTTTATAATTTGGAGGTCAACCACTTTTTGATTTTCAAATTAAAAAATATAGTTTGATATGATGACTATTTGACTCATCAAGTAGCTAAAAGCCTTAGGAGAGCAATTTTGCATCTCTGTTATTGAACTTCCTTTTTTTAGATGCTTGAATACCCACTTGGAGAATTGTGTAATTTAGCTGTCTGCTGTGATGTTTCCTCCTGGCTTTGAAAACAAATGGCTTCTTTCACTGGTATTACTCCCCCTTCTTCTACTATTTTTCCACTATTATCTTTTTCTAATGTATCCAATCTTTGTGGAATTATATAATCTACTGTGTATAAAGTAATCATTAACTTTAATTAGAATGATGATTTAAGTGCTGTTTAATTATCTAAGTGTGTGATCATTGTGTATTTCAGTTATAAAACAATACTTCAAATAACCAACAGAGCTATAACTTTTAATAAAATTAATTTTGCAACATAGCTTAACCTGTGTTTGTTTTTGTTTTTTTTTAAAGAAAAAGCCTCACTGAAGGATATGTTTGTTGATTTTAGAGAAAGAGAAAGGGAGAGAGAAAAAAACATCGATATAAGAGAGAAACATTGATCGGTTGCCTCCCATTCACGCCCCTATGGGGTATGGAACCCTGACCGGAATCAAACAGGCAACCTTTTTGGTGTAGGGGATGACACTTCAACCTACTGAGCCTCCCGGCCAGGTCTAGCTTAAACTGCTTTAATTACTTCTTTTCTACCCCTCTTGGTTTAATGCAATTGTTTCAAGGGCTATGTAGTGAATGTACAGAAACTTGTGAATTCATATTCCATAAATGATGGACTTCAGACCATAGTCTGTAGTCAGGCTGTTGCACTATTATCTTAATTGCTTTCAATAATTACTTTTGAACCACCGTGTGCTTGTTTTGTTGTTCTCCAGTTGAAAATTACTGAAAATGTTTATTCATAAAAGATTTTAAATGTGAAAAATAATTTCCCATTAACACAAACCAGGTAATTTATTTGGATATATATGGGGGAAAATATTAAACCTACACACTTCCTACCTTATTTGTCAAGCGTTGAAAGGCTATTATTCTTTATAGAAACTTAGTATTTAGAAAATTTTATAATGTTAGTTATAAAAAGAGTTTTTACTTAAAAATGGGATTACCATCTTGGATTTACATCAGTAGCCAATAGTGTATCATAATGGACAAAACTTCATCAGTACATGGATTCCGTATTCTCTTGTCTATAGTATCTATTATCAAAGTCAGAAAATTCCTACTTTTCTTATATGGAACATTTTTTTGCTAGTGCTTTACTTTAGCCCCCCTCCCAAAATACACATACACACATAAAAAATATATTTTTTAGTTTTTTTTCCTGATACTTGAGAAAACATTTGCGGGGTGGGCAGGATGGGATACCAAATAGAGCATTGTTTTCCTTCCTTTTTCAAAAGAAAAGGAAACCTTTTGTCAAGGCCAAGCTACTTGGTGTGGCTTCTTTTGTGGCTATTTTGTGCCATATAAATCTATATATATAAAAGGCTAATA